TGCTGCCTTTATTGGCGGTTTTCGAGAAATCGCTATTTCAAAAACGATAATTTTTTGAAATTTTTGAAAATAATCCACAAGAGGACGTAAAATGCTTTTTGGTATTTTATACTTTCCGCAACTTATTCCAAGTTTAATGAATGTATAGTATATATGTATGTCCAAGAGAAAAAGATGTTTGATAAATTATCTAGGAAATTTATTTGAAATACCAAACCGTTTTTAAATATGTTACGTCTGCATTGTTTATAAAAGTTTGAATACACGCTATGTTTGGTATTATATATGGCCAAGTCAAAACGTGCTGCTACTGTTCTGACTTATTAAAATCGAATCTATAAGGTATCTGCTTTTCTCCGCATGTGTCGTAGTGCTGCCTTTATTGGTGGTTTTCGAGAAATCGCTATTTCAAAAACGATAATTTTTTGAAAATTTGAAAATAATCAACAAGAAGGCGAAACATGATTTTTCCGTTATTTCATACTTTCCGCAACTCATTCCAAGTTCAATGGACGTACAGTATATATGTATGTCCAAGAGAAAAAGATGTTTGATAATTTATCTAGTAAATTTAGTTGAAATACCAAACGTTTTTTGAATATGTTACGTCTGCATTGTTTATAACTTTTTGAATACACACTATGTTTGGTATTATATATGGCCAAGTCCAAAACATGCTGCTACTGTTCTGACATAATGAAATCAAATATATAAGGTATCTGCTTTTCTCCGAATGTGTCGTAGTGCTGCCTTTATTGGCAATTTTTGAGAAATCGCCCTTTCAAAAACGATATTATTTTGAAATTCCGAAAAAAATCCACAAGAGGGCGTAAAATGATTTTTTCGGTATTTCCTACTTTCCGCAACTCCTTCCAAGTTTAATGGACGTACAGTATGTATGTATGCCAAAGGAAATTGATGTTTGATAAATTATCTAGTAAATTTAGTTGAAATACCAAACGGCTTTTAAATATGTTACGTCTGCATTGTTTATAACATTTTGAATACACACTACGTTTGGTATCATATATGACCGAGTCAAAACGTGCTGCTACTGTTCTGACATAATGAAATCAAATCTATAAGGTATCTGCTTTACTCCGAATGTGTCGTAGTGCTGCCTTTATTGGCGGTTTTTGAGAAATCGCCCTTTCAAAAACGATAATTTTTCGAAATTCCGAAAGGATCCACTAGAGGGCGTCAAAATCATTTTTTTGGCATCTTAAGATTTGCACACTAATTCCAAGTTTAATGAACATACAGTTTTGATGTATGACCAAGAGAGAAAAGTGTTTGATGAAATTTAGTTGAAATACTTAACCGTTTTTAAATATGTTACATATACATAGTTGATAAAATTGAAAATGATATGCTATGTTTAGTATTAAATATGGCCAGATCAAAACGTGCTGCTACTGTTCTGGTTTGGTGAAATCGAATCTTTAACGTATCTGCTATTCTCCAAAAGTGTCGTATTGCTGCCTTTATTGGCCATTGTCCGAGAAATCGTCACTCCAAAAACGGCATGCTTGGGAAATTGAAAAAAATTATATAAAGGTTGTAAGACATTTTTCACTTTTTCATACAATTTGCATCTTATTCCAAGTTTAATAAAACACAGTATCGGTGTTTGAAAAAGTAAGAAAACGGAATATTACGATATTAGGTGAGTTTATTTGAAATACCAAACCTTTTTAAAATATGTGAACATCTACGCTATTCAAATAATTGAGATATACGCTATGTTTGGTATTATAAATGGCCAAGTCAAAACGTGCTGCTACTGTTATGGTATAGTGAAGTCGAATCTAAAAGGTATTTGCTTTTTTCCGAATGTGTCGTAGTGCTGCCTTTATTGGCGGTTTTTGAGAAATCGCCCTTTCAAAAACGATTATTTTTCGGAATTCAGAAAAGAACCATTATAGAGAGCGTAAAATGTTTTTTTTTTATATTTTAAACTTTCCCAATTAATTCTTAGTTTAATAAACGTACAGTATTCATTTGTGACAAAGAGAAAAATATATTTGATCAATTTTCCAGCAGCTTCAGTTGAAATACAAATCCATCTTAAATTTGTTACGTCGACAATGTTTATAAAACTGAGAATACACCGCTATTTTGGTATTATATATAGCCAAGTCAAAACATGCTGCCACTGGTTTTGTTATAGTGAAATCAAATCTATAGGGTATATACTTTTTCCGAATGTGTCGTAGTGCTGCTTTATTGGCGGTTTTCGAGAATTCCCCTTTCCAAAATCGATAATTTTTTCGAAATTTTGAAAAGAATCCACGAGAGGGCGTAAAATCTTTTTTGGTATTTTATACTTTTCTTCTGCAACTCATTCTAAGTTTAATAGACGTACAGTATTAATGTGTGACAAAGAGAAAAATATATATTTTATCAATTGTTCAGCAAATTTGGTTGACATACAATTCCTTTTTAAATTTGTTTCGTCCACATTGGTAATAAAATTGAAGAGTATACGCTATGTTTGGTATTATATATGGCAAAGTCAAAACGTTCTGCTACCGTTCTGACATAATAAAATTGAATCTATAAGGTATGTGCTTTTCTCTGAATGTGTCGTGATGCTGCCTTTATTGGCGGTTTTTGAGAAATCACCAATCCAAAAACGATAATTTTCGAAAATTTTCAAAACTAATTCAAGGGGGTGCGCAAAATTTTTTTTATTATTATGTTATACTTTCTGAAACTTATTCTAACTTTAATAGACGTACAGTATTGATGTGCGACAAAGAGAAAAAGATATTTGATCAATTATCCTGCAACTTTAGTTGAAATACAAACCCTTTTTTAATATGTTACGTACCTTTGTTTTAAAAATCGAGGAATATACGCTATGTTTGGTATTATATATGGCCAAGTCAAAACGTGCTGCTAATGTTCTGGCATAATAAAATCGAATCTATATTCTATGTGCTTTTATCCGAATATGTCGTAGTGCTGCCTTTATTGGCGGTTTTCGAAAAATCGCCATTTTAAAAACGATAATTTTTTGTAATCGAGGACAGAATCCACTAGGAGTCGCAAATGATTTTTTGCTGTTTTATACTTCCCGCAACGTATTCCAAGTTTAAAAGATGTACAGTATTAATGTGTGACAAAAAGAAAATGATATTTTATCCATTATCTAGCAAATTTATTTGAAATACAAAATCAATTTGAATTTGTTACGTCCATGCCGTTATTAAAATTTAGATTACACGATATGTTTGGTAATATATATGGTCGAGCCAAAACGTACTGCTACTGTTCTGTTATAGAAAAATCGAATTTATATGGTATCTGCTTTTCTCCAAATGTGTCGTGGTGCTGCCTTTATTGGCGGTTTTCGAGGAATCGAGGTTCCGAAAAGGATAATTTTCCGAAACTTTGTATTTGCGGAATACCTGAAAATTCATTTTTCGCTTAGTTAGTCTTTTTTTAAACACTAATTTCTTGTTAAATTTAATGTATTCATTCAGTTTAAGAATTTTTCATCTATTTTCGTGCCAATATTATATTTTGATCAGCATTTTCAATTTTCATATTTACCTTATAAGTGAACACTATATGCGCGTGGAACCTATATTCAATGTGTAAAAATATTCTGGCTGAAAGTGCTGCTAGCTTCACAGTGGTGTACTCGACAGTGTCGCCTACCAAATTGATCGCTGTCAAGCAAGTCGGGCAAACAACAATAAGTGCAAGGAGTCTAATTCTAGAATACCCGCCGCATTAAATCTGGTAACTCCTAATGACTCGGTGAAAGTATGTTTTACTGTTATTTACAAATACTATGACCGTTTTTTTTTTCTCGTCATATTTTATCCCCCTTATTGCAAGTTTTATACACGTATAATAGGATACCGTACCGGTATTGTTTGCAATATATTATTCGCTGTAACTTAATCAGAGTGGTAATTTTCACTCTTTTCATTTGTATATAAGTTTTCAAAATTGTACTTGTTAGAAATATTTGTGCAATTTGCATTCTCTCTAAGTTTTTCTTTATTTTTTCTTGTTGTCCTCTCATTTTCTCTCTTCAGTGCATTCTCTCGTGATAGTTATACATTTATTTTGTTAAATAATCTGCACAGTAGCCTCAATTATGTATACTGCCGCAACTACTGGTATTCAGTAGTTGTGTCTTATTTAGTTACTTTTTTATACTAACCTGCATCAGCTAGGTGTCGCTGCTTGAAGACCTTTATAGGTCCCTCGCGACTCCAGTCACACAATTAACATGATCAGTATATTTCATTTATTGTAACAGTTTTCTATATGCTTGTTTTTTGTGTTGACAAATAAAAGATTGATTGATTGATTGATTGGCGAAGCGTTGTGCTTGTGATGACGCTATGCGAATTCGAGCGTAAATTAATCAGTTGCGTGATATCAGCGATTCAGTCTCTGTTTTGAGTGCAGCGAGTAGAATAGGTACTGTATATGTCAATGCTTTCACCGCCTCATTATAAAAGTATGTATATATATTATATATATATATGTTATTTCCCGGTTCCGTTGTCAAATTTTATGTGATTTCCTATGTGATTATCTTTATGCAACGTTTTATGCGGAAAAGTTAATGACATATTTTCTTATCCTCGCTCAAGACTTACTAGTCTTTGTTTTATCGTTTTGGTTTCCTCATTTACCTTAAGGTGTATATTTCATTACATCTGTTATTTGGATCAATTCGATCGTACAACTTTGCAATATATAACATTTGGCACTACAATCTACCGTGTGTACATTTGACCTCAGAAGGATCAGGTTGGAGATTATTCCGATAGGTAGCTAGGTTTGATAGTACGGAAAATAGGAACACGCAAGTAGATACCACTTCTCCTCCTATACAAGCACCATTACAAGCGGAATACAACGCAAAATAGAATACTTGGGCAACTTTATTAATATGCCAAATTTCATAACAGTGAGAACGCGTAATCTACGTTACAATTATGAGCTTGTTTTTGAACCGTGCTTGGAATATTTATCAATACCACGGGGAATTTCATTGACGTTTCTTGCACATGCTGCGCATTTGCAATTGTGTATGCTTTATTTATTCCTTCGATCATATTTCGTATAACTTACCTATAATACATATATACCAGAGCGGTATCGCTAAAAATTTTGCATCGTTTGTAAACTATAGTGAGAACCATAGACAAATGCCAAATAGTAAATAGGTACCGAATGAAGAACTCTTTGTCAGATTTTACGCTGATATTATATAAAATAATTTAAAAGCGTGATACCAAAATGAAGTCCGTATTGCCGGCGTTATCCATGCATAACTGTATTTTAAGACAACTTTTCTCATTCTACGATAAACCATCACATCTGTGACATACAGAATAAATAGGTTGCGACGCGGGCATTGGTAAATTTGAATACTTCTCGACAATATATATATATTTGGCTTTGTCAAAAAGTTGCACATCAGCAGACTAACCAAATAGCTATATGGCCGGAAATTGTGTATTGGCGTCTGACACATAGCCTACAGTTTGAAAGCAATAGCACAATATCGTATAATTGGACGAAACGCAATATATACAAAGTTTTTAAATACAAAATATAGCATAAGCAATAACACGAAATTAAACGTTGTAAGTTTGCTGTCCGCACGATGTAGGTAGGTTGCATTTTTTGGTTATTGATTAAACCGTAAACATATCCTACTACGATTAAACAATGCGCTGCACAGCCGTAAGCTAAAACAAGCCAAGCGTGCAATTGACGGGCGATATGAGCCGATAATGTGTTTAGATCGTGCGTTTTAAAGTGCAGTTACTGTATTCTATTCATTATCATGAATTGTCTTCTAAAAAGAACAGAATCTGAAGGATATGAATGGGTGACAACCCCTATTCCAGAAGCCTGTAACGATGAAGTCTTAATAAAAGTTGACAAAGTGGCAATTTGCGGATCAGATATTAGTCTTTGGAAATGGAATGAAACAGCTAAATTGATAGCGTCTCTACCATTTACACCAGGACATGAAGCAACGGGACTGTTGTGAAGGTTGGACCTAACGCAGCTCGACTAACTGTAGGCGATCGAATTGCCGTTGAAAATCATTTCTTCTGTGGAAAATGTTTATTGTGTTCGAAAAACAGAGGAGATATTTGTCAGAATCTGGCACAGTATGGGCACGGCAGAGGTACAATTCACGGTGGGTGCTCTCAGTATTCTATAGTAAATGAAAAGTATTGTTACAAGCTTCAACATAACATAACAGATAATGAAGCTGTGCTTTTGGAACCGATGGGAGTCGCCCACAATGGAATAGAGAGACTTGATGTTTCGGGCGAAGAAGTGCTTGTTATTGGATGCGGTGCAGTAGGTTTGTTTGCAATTGCATGTGCAAAAGCTCTTGGGGCAACACGAGTGATTGCAGCTGATATTGTTCCCAATCGTTTGATTCGAGCCAGTAAAATGGGCGCCGATGTTGTGATCAATTCAAAAGATGTGAAAGATTTCAAAGACAAGATTATGGAGTTAACGGATGGAAATGGAATCGATCGCATTTGTGAAGCAAGTGGATCTGCGTTCATTGCTGAATAGATGCTTTTCATATCTTAGAAAGGGCGGCAAAGTAGTTTTAATTGGACTCGTAAAGGAGCCATTTCATGTTGAAAACCCTATACAAGACATTGTCTTCAAATCTTTAACCATAAACACGGTGCACGGAAGAAGAATATTCCATACGTGGGAAGAGTGCGAGAAACTAATCGTTGAGAAAAAGGTCGATCCATCTATAGTGATTTCTCATGATATTCCGATGTCGAAATTCCGTGATGCCTTCAATGCTTTGTTTTCTCAAGATGCTTGTAAAATTGTATTAGATCCACAGAATTGATCTTGCCAATTTTCAAAACGACGCAGTTTTAACCTCCTATATATATAAAATATTAATTTTTCAGGCATTGGCAATTAAACAGATTATGATATTTTTTGATAATAAATTAATTCCTTAATATAAGAAAAATTGTTGACCTCATGATAATGTGGTCTCACTGGTCTGTACGAACAAGCAGCAGAGAACCATCTCGCAACAGCACCATGGCTTAACTAAAATGACGTAACAATAAAAAATAAAATAAAACACAGTTGTCGCAAATAACTTGTTCGTTTAAATCAGTATAGTTAATTATTAGTTCAGTCACTGCACTTCAGTCGTACGTTACATGTGTCCGCAGTTTCAAATTTTGTCAGAAATAAAAATGCGTTTAATTTAGTTGACATTGTTGAATTTCTGTTTGTGCATGATTGTATTAGGAATTTTAGAATACTTGTCCCAAAGTTATGTTCTATCCATAATGGGTCCCAAATCATCTTCTAACTAGGCATTGTAGACATACTTACATCAGTTGCACAAAGCAAATCACTCATACGCACTCCTCTATGTATGTGAATTTTGCTGCAATTGCTGTTTTGAGTTCACCTGTTGTTCTGATACACAGAGTTCTACAAAACCAATGAATTAGGTGCTCAACCATTCAAGGGAGCGATTTGACTTGGGGGGTATCGCCTAGTTATTTTGAAACCACTTATGATCTCAATTTATTCCTCTACTCTACGACCTACGTCGTCCAAATGATGTCTAGCACTCTCACTGCCACATGATGTCACATATTCACCGCATGATTTTCGTCTTCAAACCAATATGCATTCAAACCAATATGCACCAGACATATGCATTGTTTTTGAAATAGCAACTGCGCACTTCTGCTGAGTTTAAAAACTTCCCGCGGAGAAGTGACCAGTTGTTCAATATTTTTTTCCGTTGGCATGCCCAGGCAGCATCAAGTGCGCTTCAGCAGAAAACTAAGTGGGGAATGACAATTTTGCGCGGCGTTAACCATAGCAGCAGGCCAGTCGATTTTAAATTGAAGTGATCGCCAGAAAAGTGTTACTTTTATTACTTTTCTTTGAGGCCTATGAGAGCAATATTTTACCTAAATGTCCGTTATTTTATTTTAATTCATGTGAAAACTATTTTCAATTTCTCTTTGGTTTTGAATTTGCAAACTCGGTTCTCATATCATTTCCATATACCGGCACTGCATTTAGTTATTATATATATATATAGGACCTTCGTGTCAAAATATCTGAACATTGCTCTGTTGACTCTATAATAAGCAAAAAATATTCTCGACAGACCAAGTGCATGGTGTTATTCCTTCACGTTATACAATTTTAGTGAATCGCGACATCCCCACAGATTTTGGCCTCGGGAATATCAGTGCACCTCGTCAATTTGATTTGTTCGCAACATACAATTTTGACTAGAAATAGTCTGATTTATACCATGTTGCTAGATATTATGAAGATTGAAGAAAAATCATTTACGGTAACAAAAAAAGATGTTGATCAAGACCTGGTGTACTCGCCATTGTCACGGACGAAGATGTTGCTACCGTGTTTGTAGATGAATCAGAAGACTCAAGGATTCTGGATTGGTTGTTTATTGTACGGCAACTCCAATATCAAACTTAAAACAGCATAACAGATTACATCACTAAAGAAATAAAAACACGACCATCCCCAGCCCGACGGCCGGAGAAAAGACATCGAAAGTCGAAGTTTTTCTCTCCCGTTGTAGTGAGTGTCGGAGCCTAGATCGACAAAACAGCATCGAACAAGGGTCAACATAACAGTCTATAAACAAAAATAGGTGCTCCCGAAGTATGCGAACCAAGATGGCGGACATCGGAACGTAACATGGGTAACAGGTTAGGGTTAGACGATAATTTTTTTCCAATTTTCCTTATTTTAGTCCTATTATCAGTTCGAAGACTAGCCAAGAGCCTCCCGTAGTATTTATACCTGAAATTATGGCCTAACCCTAACCTAGTACACATATTACATTCCGATGTCCGCCATCTTGGTTCGCATACTTCGGGAGCCCCCAAAAATATATATATACACACAATATAAATGCAGACGCTAAACAGATATGGAAACTGCACTAATTTAAATTCAAAAGACCTCAAATATATATCCAATTTTCAAAAATGCTGAATTCATCATCATACATTCATCTGGCATCCTGGAAGTTCGTATGATGATTGCCATAATTCTATAGACCAGTGGTTCCCAACCTTTTATGGCTCGTGGCCCCCTTCCGGAGCCTGTCAGCACTCATGACCCCCTGTTTATCATTCCAGTGGTATTTATAGTGTTGTTTTAATTGGTAAGGTCCAAATCCCATTATGTTCAAGCAATTCATGCTCACGGGTCACCCGGTTGGGAACCACTGCTATATACATTCTCGTGCAACATTTCAAAGCCTCGACTTGTCATAATAAAAACAAGTTTTAAATTGACGTCTCATTCCATATTTTCCTATATATTTATATATATATTATATATATATCACTTATTTTAATTTTGGCAGTGTAGAAAATCGATTGCTTATATATACAACATTCAGGTTAGTAGCCATTTTAGACTTACATAAAACAAACCTGTCCGTGCTGTTGGACACCAAGTGGACATACAGATCGTTTTGTTATCATGTTGTTGTTGTTATAATTCTTGTTGTTATGAAAAGATCGCTTTTCTCATTACCTACTAGAACTAGACCAATTACTTTGAAATTATTAATGGTTGAAGATTTTTAGTCAGAAGGCTATTACTTTTATTTATTCCTTATATATTTGTGCATCGCTCTTTTGTTTTAAATTTATGTTGGTGTTGACTTTTCGCCAAAATAAAAATTTTCTCAGGGCCAACTTTATAAATATTTATGTTATGTGGGCTGCAACAAATCTCACTTTGATCTCTGATCTGTGCTGTCACCAAATTCGATATTTGCAACTTTCATAAAGTATTGTTCTCCAAAACTACGTTCGCAAAAGTTCAGTACGTTCTCGGTTTCATTATAAACCAAATGTTGGGAAAAGGGATCTTGTATGCTTGTTTAATTGTTATCGGTTGTTTTATCAATTGATCAGAACTCCTTTAGCTTAAATATGGTCCTGCCGTTTGAGTTGAGAAAAACAATATCACTCGTGCGATAGTCCGATCATTTGCAACTTTAGTTTAGTGTTTGTTTACTAAACTTTTCGTGACCCCATTTCGCAATATTTGCATAGTACACAATCTGAGTTATCCAAGCCCTCCCTGCAAATAAAGATACTAGTACCGTGGTGCATAAACTTAAAAATGAACGTATCTAATGTATCAGTCTGGTATGTATTCGCTAATGGCGTACGAGTTTAATGTGGTATTGATTTAGATGAGGTTGCAATTACAGACTGTTCCAATTTTGTGTGCTGTGTAGTATAGTTTTTCGTTTTCGTTAAATTACCATTTCTATCAAGTTGAATTAGTTATTGTCGAGGAGACAGCAACAACTAAGAATCATGAAAGTAATATGTGCGGGTTTCAGCAAAACTGGGACAAAATCGTTATATGCAGCCTTGCATTTGCTGGGCTATAATACCTATGATTTCTTAGAAAACGCTACTTATTTGTCCGAAGAATGGATTAAAATCTTTGAACATGGATGAACTACAGAAGATTTCCGACGAATGTATAAGGATGTAGATGCAGTAACTGATTATCCGGCGTTTTACTTTTGGGAAGAAATCCATAAAGCTTTCCCAGAAGCCAAGGTACAAATTTCCTTCATCGAGTTACAGCGCGGTTTGTTATTTGGTTTCAAAATTCATTGTGGGAAATAATCGAGTAGGATAGAAAGCTTTTATTGTCAAATAGAAAACATACCAGCAGAGGCGTAGCCAAGAGGTTCGTTTGAGGATCGGAACCTCGCCTTAAAATGTAATAAAAAGCATTTTTTTTATCATACAAAGCATTTTTTCGTAGCTTGAAACGTAGCTTTTTAATTAAACCCTCAAGACTACTAAAATCTGACGTTTTCCTGCCTTCCACCAGACCCGCTAGCTAATACGGCGTAACTCGGCAATTAGAAATTTCATAACCCCCACCCCCTTCCTGGCCACACACCTGCGTAGCCGGACGTTCCACTGCTCTATGAAAAAAAGTATCTTTCCAAATCGGTAATTTGAGTCTCCTCAGTATGGTTAATCAGACATGTAGTTTCATCGTTAAATGCTTCTTTCACAAAGGTGATTCTGATGTTAAGAGAAGATGAGGATGCTTGGTGCAATAGTATGGAAAAACAGCTTCGCATCATGGAGGGATCGTTTTTATTGCGTCTCATGCAGTATTTGTCACCAACGGCGAGAAATACGGCTGCAAAAGTGTTTCCTTATTTAGGTGAACTAGCATAACTCGTGTTCTCTAACGAAGACCTTCTCTAGAAATGCGAACTTAATGAAAATGATAAACAGCAATATTTTCGATTGAAGATCCATACTGGCCTACTCGTGAAACCAATACCCAATTTTGCTATAGGGAGGTCTGTATGTACGAGAGTTGCAGGGTCAATGATATTAAACATTGATATCAATGATATTAAACATTGTTAGAAATCTAAGAAAAAACTAAATAAGTCATTGCTTATCTGCAGACTGATTAAACTAAAAATATACAATTGGTATATATATATTTGAATATTTTATTCGTTGGCAAAGTTTTATTAATGGTTAATGATAAACTGCAGTGAATGTAAAGAGACTATACAAACAGATTTAAACATGTGTCACGTTCCTCAATTTCATGAACATTCAATATTATACACTATCTGAAATTTTAAGGTTCAGTAGTTTTGGGGCACACAGACTCATTCCACTGGAAACCGTTCAGATGGGCACGCATTAACAGAGAGCTTTTAAAACTGAAATTTCGAGCTCATAATGCACACGTCGTACAGGTGTGTTTTCAAATTAAAGTAAAGCTTTTATTTTGTTACGTTTTTCGTTATGAAACAAATATATCAACTGAATAATCATAATTATTTGCTCGTTATAGTCAAAATTGAATATCGACCATTTTTATTCAATTGTAATTACTAACTACGCTTCCTTGCTCTATTGGATGCGTATGCGCATAAAGCAAAAAAAAATTCACCAAGAATATAGTGTTCGATTTAATTCAAGATCTTCTATCTCTATTGGACGCGTTTGCGCATAACGAAAGAATACTGTAGCGAGAATAAAGATGGTTATTCTATTAAAATCAAGAATCTTGCTGCACACTATCACAAAGGTTTTTCTGCAACGATTTGTCCGACTGAAGTCAGACGAGCAATTTTCAACCATGACCTATGTCAGTAGAAACCTTACAAAAATACATTTGTGTTAGTTTGCAGCATTACTTTCGAATTAAATCTTAAATTGAGCAACTGAAAAAATTTGGTGCTCTACAATAGTGAGATTTATAAAATATCTCTCTGTAATTCTCGAATTGATATTTTGAAATAATTGTCTTTACCTGTGTGGTGCCTGATTTGAACCTACCTCTAGTTTTACCATGAACACATATGTCTGATTAAAATATTGCAATTTTATTTACGTTAATTGTTAACAGAACGTACGCCCAGAAAAGTTTCTTCAATTCAAGTGCTCAGATGGATGGGAACCTTTGTGCAAATTCTTGGATGTTGCAATTCCGGATGAAACTTTTCCTCACGAAAACAAAAGCGGAGAAATTCTACAAAAATTACTTGAAACGAATCCCCACTTGATGAAAATGAAAAGAGAAGTTCTGATGTCATCAGCCATCATAACATTAACCACAGGCATTGCTGGATATTTCCTTTTTACCCGAGGCCCTCGTAATATTTATCATTCTGTAACATCGTGGATGAAAACCTTGCCAGAAATATTACACACAAGAACATAAAATCGACTTGCAGCTGAAATCATATATGTTTATTGTTTAAAGTCAATATTATACGATTTAATGTATTCCGATTGGACATTGCTAATTTACATGTGGATTTGTTAATATATATTTCATGAAAAATTTCATAATCTCTGTGACTATCATAATGAGAAGACTATGCATGGCTCGAGAGAAAAGAGGTTCTGAAACCCGAACTCCGATTGTGTTAGGAAACATTGGAAACGTTATTGCGAATATATATAAACCCTTTAGTAAGTGAATGTTACTACAAAATGTAATGGTGGATTTTTTAATGTAGTACAACCAAATTGATCTATGAAATGGTGATCACAATACCAAATACAAAACAAGCTTTTTAATTATGTTCATTTAATCATTATATCAAAACCTTTATGCAATATATTCAGTTTCATTTTATGTGAAAAGGGATATTTTAGACATGAGTAGTATATAGTCCCGACCCGAGTATTCTTTGTCAGACATATGCGTATGGGAATTTTGTACATAATCCAGTAATAAAATATATATATATACATATTTTCTAGAGAGGGTACGGGGTTCTGTAGAGCAGAGATGATACATCGATAACAGAAATAAGCGATCTATAGAATTTGATACGAATATGATATATATATTATCTATCTGCGATGTTATCTATATCAATAAATTTAAAATGCTACCAAATGAAAACATATATATCATTTTTCTAACTCTTCGCCGCCTACAACCTCATGCTTCCTTCCTTCAAATACTGATATAAAAAAAAACTACAACAGATAATGGCTACAAGATAGGGTATAGTACATGATTGGATACGAATATAATAAATATGAGACAGTTGATATGCTTCATTTCTACAATGCTTTCTTTGTCATTATCGATTCCTCTCTTCATCCACCAAATCCCGTCATCGAGAAGCAAACAGAATATTTTTTCGGATGTCGGCAACCCATGCAATGTCTCACTGATGGTCTTTCTGTAGAGAACAATATTCAATCATGTCTAACTGACACAATACAAATGAAATCCATAATTTGGTAAAATGGCTGAACAGATGCGGAAAGGAGTCAAACGCAGAAGAGATAGACGGACGGTCAAAGTATCCAAACTAATTCTAAAACTGTAGTAATAAATAGAAAGAAATTAAACTGCCACTATAGATACAATTTGTCACAGATTTCGTAGACGCAAAGCAATTCATAGGAATTTAAGTTGTATCATATCTTAATGTATATATCATATGGGTAGGTTGCGACTTGCGATCAATCGTAATTATGAATATCCGTATTTAAAATTTCCATACCCCCACAAACTGGTAGAAATTTCCATATCCCATTCACCTTTTTTGCTATGCATTCGTCGGAACAGGTTGATGCAGATGGTTTCTCCTAAAATATATTTATATATATATACCTTTACTTATGAGCATTGTAAATGTACTAGTATTTTATGAGATGCAACAAGTCTATTTATTTTAAACGTTGCTCGAACCATGGTTCTAGTGTAGACTAACAATCGCTATTTACTAACGGGTAACGCATCGCCGTAATTTTATATATTGCCAGTTGTCTTGGCACCCAAGTGGTTGTCCTTGGCTTTGCTCAGAGATGAGTTCACATGACCCTGATTTGAGCAATCCATATTTGAAAAGCCTCCTTATCCCTGAGTCAGAGCGCAAATTTTGAGGGCGCAGTAATCTCCAAAAAAAGTTCCAATGAAAATTTGGGCCAGGGCCAGGGTTGATTAAAAAACATTTCTTGCTTACCACAGCAATTTTCATTTCATCCGGTTGGATGCATTCGATGCTGCGACGCTGGTAAAGTGAACTTTGTCCAGAAAATGTAGAATTTATGTTATGTTCTCCATACCACCTTAAGATTGCTTCGTCGCGGTAATTGCAATCATACTAAATATAAAAAGATAGATTTAAATGTTATGACTCAATGACGCATTCGTCTAATGAAAGAAAATGTTTGGCTTTACACGGTGATTAATCTTAGTCGTGCTCTGCTTCAACGGAAGGCTTTCATGCGCAGCAATCTTTGACGCGTCGGGTAAACTATGTAACTTTTTGATAGGTCGGTCTCATCTTACTACGAAATTCTATTACTTATATTCAACTAAAAGCATCACATTCTAAGAATATATAAACAATGTAACTTCACTCACCAATTCTTCACTTTTTGGAAAACATCCTCGTTCGATTTCCCCCTCGAAGACGCAGACAGGTTTCGAACGCGTCGGCCAGTTAACTGTGCCATTCTTCCTAAATAACAAAATTTAAATATTTGTAACAGTTTTGTATTTGCACCACCTGTTCTTGAGGGAGGTTGCCATCCGGGGCATAAGAAATCCTGAACTATAAGTGACTTCTTATTCTTAGTATTGTGATATGGCGCGAATAAAATACGTATACGGTACATATAGGTCTAGGATAACGGACCAATTTAAAGACAGCAAAATTGTTTGAAGCCGCTTCCAAAAACTGTTAATACTATTGTTGTGAGAATGCGGTTAGATAAATCCTTTCCTCCTACCGTAAAAATGAAATTACCTGCAGATTCCGATAAATTTGGGATATAAATCACTATCTATGAATAACGGGAAATGGGATTTTTTACATCTGAAAGTGCAGGCGATTTTTTCCGCAGTCAAATTGCAATGGATTACGTCAACAAAACCTCTGTGAAGACCACAGTAACGCAGCAATGGATGACGTACCAATGATCCATTGTATAGATCTAAAAATGGAGAAACATATAAAAGAATGAACAACTTCTTCCTTTTATTGTTAAAAATAAGCCGTATTTGCGGGTAATCGAATCCAATCAAGAACAAATAATTATTCACAAGAATGTAATCGAACTTGAAATGCTTGTTGCGTTTAAAATAGAGAAAAAAAAACGATTTTACGATTTTCCACTATTTTCAAACTGTCATCCATTTTTTTTATTTATTTTCAAAAATAACACCCCAGTTCTTATCCATTCTTTTACAATCGCTCAAATTCTATCAACTTGTTAAATTACAATTATGAATCATCGTTTGGCGCAATCTAAAATCGTGCGGGTTCATACACAATTCCAAAGTGCAACTCATAAATAACAATCAGCATTGAACCATTGCATTTTTAAGATTCGTTGGTAATAGAGATAATGGTCCTGTGGAAAGGGGTTTGGGGCCTTGTTTGCGAGCGAAGGTATAAAAACTTCATTAAAATTCTTTATTGATAGACATTTTAAACATCTTTTCATGCTCTCTCAAAGACTTAAACGATACCTGAATGACTTACTTATCGGATAGACTCTTCTATATTCAATTGGCTCAATCAGGGTTAAATTTCTGGGGATCAATAATTTTACAAATGGATACTTGATTGCATCGATTGATACGTTCATTTTAGAATAAGTTTGAATATTCGAAAATGTGTTTAAAGTTTCCCATTTTGAACCTCGTCGTTGTTTTCGTGCACGAATCTACATTTTGGATAAAAAAAAATATTCAAGAGCTCGATCATCAAATACACAGAGTACATATATAACAACGATTTTTTTTTACGCTGTCGTCAATCAACATTAACTCGAACACATAAAAAACATGCCTGTGGCCCGATTTTCCCTATTTCAGTTCTGTTACAAGTTCGTGACTGTCTGTGTTAGCCAGGTGAATAAACCCCATGACTATAGATTCAATACTTCTACACAGCTTGATGTAAAATAGGCGAACAAAATTAGTTACCTCTATATTGGTACACATACTTCTGGAGCGCCAACACAAGATCTCAAACGCACCACATAGGGTGAAAATGATCCAAAAACCCCTAACTCAATTTATTTTTTTGAGAAAATTGCTCAAAGCAAGATCACACGCAGTCACCAACAAAATAAATTAGACTGAAGAAAAGTTACAGGCCACACTAATAGCGTCAGTAAATGCCGATCGCTGCGACACTTAATGCGATACGAACAGCTTTCTATTTTTATTTATATATCCATTGTTTTCTTTTAGATAATGTTGTTAAACATCTAATAAGATACAAACCTGTATCGCGTCGTCTTCGAGCGATAATTTCGGAAGAATGATACGCAAGAAAGCAGGCGAATGTAATCCTTCATCTAATGTCTGATAAAAGACGCAATTTTTCGACAAATTTTCTCTCTTCGTGAAAAAATAAATTGGTTTTTGTTCCCCATTTCGAATTTTAACTTTTCCGTAAGATCCTTCCATTTCGCCACCACAAAATGTATCATATCCAAGAGCTAAAGAATATAAAAGCATTCAAGCCCTGAATATACCTTGAACCTCTAACGAAGAATACATAATCTTTATTTATACTTAACAAATGGATAAACTGCATGTAGATTAAAATGAAATTAAATCGTCAAACTAAAAGGTAAACTTTACACACGGCTAAACAAAACTTCCAACTTCATTTTATCGTTACAAATTTTTACAGAGATTACCTCATTTGTACCCTCCTACACTTATTCAGTCATTTCAAATGGCAAAAATATGACTGTATTCCGTTAAATGTTTAAAGTAAATAGTACTTACACAAATGTAACTGTATAATCAGTAGGAATGTCCATAGCACAGACTTTCTCCAATTTTTCATAGCTCCGTCGCTTTTTGCCATTTAACTTTCATAAAAATTATATACCTATAATTATATCGTCGACTAAAAGTGTGATCTCTTCTGCACAAAAGGAATATATATACATAAATATTAAATACTGATGTAAGTCACTCACAAAATGATTATAAATTTGCTATTTTTTTAATATTTTTATATACTTGTACTTATACTTATATTGCTAACGGGGTGTTTTGAACAGTGTGACATATCAAATAATGTTTACTTAGAATTTACATTCAAAACGTATTTCAAAGAGAAATAAAAAAATGTATGTTTAGAATTCGTATGCGTCAACAAACAGGTAGCCTAGTTATCACTGTATCTCAACCTTTCAGTTACACTGTGAACCATTATTCAGAATCTTTTCGGACACTATATTCTTATTCCCGAAAATCGCCAGTCTTCAAACTGATCAAAAACAGTCATTATCGAACTCCAATAGTAATGTATTCTCATGTTCGTCAGCCATAAAAGGCCTGTTTCGAAACTTCTATTGCAAAACAACTTATATCTTAATACCTGGGCTTTTGTGCAGATAATCTCGTTTGAACCCCTTTTCCGGTAAGCCTTTAATGTATTTTCAATTCACGCTCCATTTATTTTACCCAAAAAAGTTCTTAGGCGGTAAAGAAGATTTATGAAATGCATGTATATATTCCTTTTTAGTATAGCCTGCAAAACCATAAACATTATCCTACAATGGATGCATGAGAATCCGTGCATGCATGTGAATCTCATAATCTTATGAAAGAACTAGGACGTACTACTCAACCCATTACAAGTTCCATTTCATAATTAAGCACAATATGAAATGACAGAATCTAAATCTACTACAACACATCCAAGTGAAGGCGCGTAGTAGCCTATATATATATATATATATATATATATTTATATATATATATTTATATATATATATTTATATATATATATTTATATATATATATACAGTGGTTATTCCCGAAAGTTTCACCAAAGACAAGCCAAGACGCTTGATTATTTTCATCACGGCTCCCAACAAATAAATGCCTCTAGTCCAGGGGTGGGCAATTACTTTCCTGAGTGGGTCGGATGCGGATAACAGACTTGGTTATTGGGCTGGATGATCAAAATTCAGTATGATCAGAAACGGTTATTTGCAAATACCTAGAGTCCTAGACTCAATGATCAATGGGCCGTTATTACAGGGGCTGGCAAATTACGGCAGCAGCGCAAAGAAAGTTGATAGAAAGAAAGCTTAACAGCTGGGTTAATGGGCTAGGATAACGTTAATAATAAAGGTAGCACAATGTAACAATTGCGGTCATGATGACCGTATTTGATAAATAGATTATTCAAATCAAAGAGAATGAATGATGCGCATTCCTGTTTTATACGAACAAAATTACTGTAACTTGGGATTTAGGAGGCAAGTTTTATTTGACGATTTTATTTTGTATTCAAAATAGGAAACGGAAATTTCAATGGCAACATTCGTCGTAATTACCTATGTGTTGGAATTGCCGACTTTTTCACCGTTGATGGTTTTTCTGTTGCGCAAAATATTCAGTTCAGGACTATTACGAGAATTAAAAATGTCTTGCCACATCAATTTAATATATAATATAATTAATTTAATTATATATTAAGAAAAGGAGCGATCTTGGTCATTTGATTAATTTGAGCCACTTAAGATTATTTTTAAGAAATCACCATTTGCAAAATTCCAAGGTCGGTCTTAAAATACCACTAGTACAATTCTTTACGATAAAGTAAAAGCGTTGCAACTTTGAAATAATGCGGCGATATGACGCAGCACAAACAGATATTTGGGAACCACTGGGATTCGCTATGGTTTCCGATCCGATGAGAAAAAATGAAATTTTTGGGATTTACCTGGTCAAAAATAGAGCTTTGAAAACGAAATTTATGATGTTCTGCATTATATTTTGTGATATATATATATATATATATATCTTATGACTCCGCTCCTTTCTTACAATAATCACTTCCTCATTTTCAGTCGCTAATTGGATTTGCGGATTAAATTTTTAGTTTGTATTTAGTCTCTCGTTTCAGATGACCACACAATAATGAGTTTTGCACACTTCACGCACAGTTCCAAGGAAATCTTTTTCTCGTCGTCCTCATAATACAGGGATAATTCCCTGTAATATAGTTTACCGATATATTATTGATGTTCACGTCTTAAATACCCATGACATGCTGAAGTAACCATCAGCGATTTCAACTCAATCCCCCCCCCCCCCCCCCTGTACTGGACAAAAGTAAACAAAATGTATTGGGACATCCACGAACACGCGCGTAGTAAAATGCAGACCAAAATGCTGATATGTCAGGAGCTGGCATTTTTGAATTACTGTACAGAAATTATTCAGATGGCTTTATGTTTATATTCAGGGCTGATAGTACGTGTGGAATTACAATATTTACACTTGCGGACGATCTGCGATCTCTTCAACGATAATTTTTATGCATGAAAACTATAGCCTAATTTCAGCACGAAAAAGTGGGCCGGATAAAACACCAAAGTGGGCCGGATCCGCTATAGAGTTCCCAAGCTCTTAAACACGATGAGTTATGGTCCGTCTGGACAGGCTATTTTCGCAACACCTCTATTATTTCCGGACGTAAAAAATTGGAAACTCGAACAATACATAATATACATTCCTAACAAATTCTTAATCTGAGAATGGCTCCGATAGTGTCGCGATAACGTCACATAGAGAAGTAAAAGGCCAAGTGTGTAAGCGACTATAGCACCTTTATGTGCCGATATCTCCTCCCAGTTGGTCCCGAATCAATATGGCACTCATGGGTCGTTTGAAAGAGCTGGCAGAGCGCATTTCTGGAACAATAAAAAATCGTTTGTATGTATCGTTTGTTTAACTCAATTTTTTTTTATTGAATTCTAAAAAATACAGCGCGGGCGACTCGAAATGCTTCCGCGGATTCGACGTTCATGAGTAAGATAATACAAAATTGATAAAACCGTGTAGGTGATTGAATTATTACAATTTCCTACTCTTGAGAGTCCTCAAAACATAAGTCAAAAATTTATACGAGTCTTCTAATCATGGTTCGCTTGCTTGTCAACATCAAAGTGACTATAAAACTGGTCAACATTACTCAGTCACAACGTAGAAATGATAGTTTATTTTAATTCCTTGCTTGACTAAATGGAACGAGTCCATCTTTAAAAAAAAAACGAATCACAATATGGGCGGTTAATGATAAAATATTGATACTGTCATAATGCGCCATAGGAAATTATGAAAGTCATTGCTGCAGGTTTTCGTAAAACAAGAACAAAGTCGCTTAATACTGCGTTAATAATACTAGGGTATAACGTTTATGATTTCATAGAAAATGGCATATTATTGCACAATAAATGGAAAACGATATTATACGAAGGTTGGCCAACGGAAATGTTCAGAGGAATGTACGACCACGTCGACGCCGTAGCAGATGTACCATCCTGCTATTTCTGGGAAGAAATCCATAAGGCATTCCCTGATGCTAAAGTGAGTGAAAATGGCAATAAGCATTTTAAGTACGCGCATATGTCGCTGGTAAACGCAGGCGGTCATGCGTTGCATCATCGTTTGCTCGTCTGCACGATAACTGCATTTCATTGAGTGTTGCAGAGGTAGAAAGTTACGATTATTTAAGTAAGTTCAATCCAACGTGCGACTGCGAACTATCAATTTTTCCAGTCAATTTTTCCGATCTGGCTCACAAATCATACTCGAACTATCAGATAGTTCGAGTCTGATTACTATCTCCAGCACAAAGGTTGAAAATCACTGACATAACCTATCGTCGAATCAAATTAACCCATAATATCCAATTTACCCAAAATACCCAACTACCATTTATTAACTAAATTAAATCGTATAGATAGGATACCATGACCGATTCTTTTTCGGTTTTCTTAGTGACAACTCGATATCAAATGCAGTAATTCCAGTAAATATAGCGATTCCTTTGTAATGGAATTGAGCATTCGCATACGAAGAAATCGAATCTCTGAAATTTTGTTGTGTTGCCATGGCAGCAAACATATAAAATTACAATCTATTTTTCCCATTTCCATTTGACATGATAAAAGATTATTTTGACATTGCGAGAGAATGAAGAGGCGTGGTATGAAAGTTTTGAAAAACATGTCAGAACTGGAGACAATAACTTAATATACAGAATGATGCAATTGCTTTCACCCACTAAAATAAAACTTATATATACGTGTAACAGGTCATGGCATTGTGGTAAGATTTCCTGGTTTAGTTTTGGTTACATTATAGTTCCTACTCCCATTTAATGATGTTCCAACTTATGTTGTTGTTTCGTTACTACATTGGTTGACATTCTTTAAATAACTTATTACTCAATTTGGGTGGTTTTATTTTAAAGGAATAAATGTATTTGGCGACAAGCGAATTTTTGAAGCTAAATGGTTCGACAGAAGCCTAAACGAACAATTATTGAAATTGAAGTATCGTGCACATATTGCACATGTCTTACAGGTAAAATATTTGTTATGTTTTTTATCTAAAATAGGAATAGAAAGATATGTATCGCACACATCTTACCAGAATCCAATAGTGTTTGCCATTATGTTTCAGAGCGCTCCAAAGGACAAACTGCTTGTGTTTAAAGTATCCGAAGGATGGGAGCCTCTGTGTCAGTTTCTTGGTTTCCCGGTGCCAGATGAACCGTTTCCACACAAAAATGCAGGCAGCACAATTTTAAATGATATGCTTAAATCACATCCGTTAGTTATTAAAATGTGAAACGAGATGTTGATATCTCCAACTATTCTACTGACTGCCTCTATTTGTATTGGTGTTTTGGCATATAAAAAAGTAATTCGTGGTTCAACCTCGACTCTTAAAGGCGGTGTTATTAGTATTTGGAATAATTTGAGTCGGCGTATGTAAAACCAATGCATTTCATATGAAAGTCGACATACCGTAGCTGGCACGTAATATCGTCACCTTCAAAGCTGTATAAGTTTCGTGCTCGTAGTTATTAATTAACTGATTTTGACATTATTGACTTTTCACGTTCGAAATCAAATATTTCAATATTATGCAATATTTTACTTAAGGCTTAGCTGAGTTGATTAAATTTTGCTGTAGTCTAACTGCACAGTGCACGCCCTGCAAAGGAATGTACTGCATACATATGCATACAACACGGAACTTAGTTGTGCTCCATTCATCTTCAAACTGAACATGGAAATGCTTCAACTTTTTCATATGTCGCCAGTGGAATTAGTCATACACATTTTTGATATCTATAGTTAATGTCTGTTAGTTGTACAATAAGATCTACGTTCTCGCTATTATGTTTTTGATAAATCAATATTTGAACCTGAACGATAACCAAAGATGAGTTTTCCACCAGCCCTTAGCAATTCAGTAAAGTGCTGGAAATGTACGCTAGACTATTAGCAATCAAAGTGTAGAAGAGCGAAAGGGCATCAAATTCACAGTTTGTAGCTAATACTATTGATTTTGGTGTATTAAACTAAGCATGATCATGACCAGTAGCCGAGCAGTATTCCAATAAATTAAATGAACATCATTTTCGCTTAAATACTGTTTTAAACAAAGACTGTGATGTATGTTAAATTAAGACTTGCCATACTTATACATTGCAGTTTACACACGCATCAAAAACTATAAGGCTATCTCACGATTATATTTCAGGGCCGGATTCATTTGTTATGGGCATCGCAACTCTCGATATGTGTACATTTTCATTTATTTTATAGATTTTTTACCAACAACATGAAAGTGATAGTGGCAGGATTTTCCAAAACTGGTACAAAGTCGATGTGTGATGCTCTCACAAAATTGGGATATAATGTTTATGACGTGATAGAAAATATGTACATTTTAGAAAAGGAATGGACAAAGATATTGAATGAAGGATGGACCACAGAAGATTTTCGTCGCATGTACGAGAATGTTGATGCTGTGACTGACCTTCCTGCTTGTTATTTCTGGGAAGAAATTCACAAAGCTTTTCCAGATGCTAAAGTAAGCATAGAATAATATGTGACAGTTGAATGGATAGCCTATATATTATGAATTTGTACATTTATCGGAAGCCTACAAGTTATTTTCCAAATTAGCCAGCTTTTCTAACCTTAAAACATATAGTGTCCGAGCCACAACGGCTCTGTATTCTCATCCCCGCATTTTTTTTGTAAAAAAAACACATCAAAGTGTATCAAAATCATTTGATATCCTCTGCAGCGTTTTACGCCTGAAATGATCGAAATATATATATATATTTGTTGTTCACGATGACCCGACTTTGAGAACTCTTATTTCGAATGCAAGAACAGCCAGTTGAAAAAATTATGATTGGTATAAACTTAAACATGCGTGCATTTGTTATCAAAAAAATGGTGATCCAGATTTGGGCTTATGTTTGGTTATATTTTTCGACTAGTTGTCCACGTTGGCATCACATTGTAAAAATGTCATATTCAGGTACATGTTTGTTCGGTACTTTATTCATGCCCAGCACCTCATCTGTTTTTCAGATAATTCTGACAATTCGCGACGACGAAGATAAATGGTATAAAAGTTTTGAGAATCAGTATAAAACTTACGACAGTAGCTTTATTGTACGATTGATGGCAATTTTTTCTCCGACTTTTAGACGAGTAGATAGAGACATAACCGTTCCTTTAAGTAAGCATAATATGTAAACAATATTTTATGATTTTATATTACGATAATCCCGTATATTTCGTATAAACATGATATTCATGTGATTAACAGGCCGAATTTCATGTGGATTAGAAGAACAAGGCCCTTTTCGTATTCAAACAAATTTACACGAACAAATTTTGAAAATGAAATACAGAGCTCATAACGCATATGTGTTGCAGGTAATATTTACATATCATCAACAATGACTATCTTTATATTTGTCAATATTGCGACACTATTGTTACTGATTCATTAAAAAAGAAAAATATCAAATTCAAATATCTGCAATGCAATGGTAGATTTTGTTTTGCAGAATGCACCGCCAGATAAACTACTGGTCTTTAGGGTAACCGAAGGTTGGGAACCGCTCTGTAAATTTCTCGGTATCCCGATTCCAGATGAACCTTTTCCTCACAAAAACGTGGGAGGAGATATAGTCGACGAAATGCTGAAAACAAATCCTACTGTTAAGAGAATGGAAAAGGAATTCATGGCTTCATTCATGGCTTTTATTGCACTATGTGCCATAGGTGGTTATTCTACATATAAATATGGGTTTTGGGCGACTGCCACAGCTCCTTTCAAGTTTTTATCGGATAAGTTTTATAATTAACTTTAGTGAAACACTCAAAAAGTAATCAAAAGATCAATACAGTAGAAATGGACAATATCAATTAGAAATAAAGGATTATTTTTTCGTGTAATAGCCTACTATTTCAAATCAATTTCGTATTGGTCAAAAAATAAAAAATAACTGATAGAAGAGTATGGAAAACTTCTACCGACAACTAAGCGATTCATAAAAATTCAATAATTTATTAGAATGTTGATATCAGTCACTGACATACTCGTAGTATTCGGAATAAAGAACGGTAGTAGTAACAACCAAGAAAATGCGAATTTCTCGAATAAAACTGTTGGCCAGAAAGTTTCATTTATGGGAAATGTAATGTGGCTGTGGACATACCAATTCACTTTACTCGTGCCAGTCAAATTGTTTACAATACATTATACAGGTATTCACAGCAAACTATCATGCACTTAATTTTTAGTCATAGTATAATTAGTTTGTTTTACTCGTTTTTCATTTTGTGATATTTAGTTGCAGTTGCCCTTTCGAAAATCGTTATATTTGATTTCGTTATATTTTGAAGTATTTCATTTTGAAATGTCTTTTTTCATGCATTCATTATTTTATGATAGACAAAAATGGGTGACTACTGACAAAATAAACCAGAGAATACCAATTGAAACAATGTTTATCTCAATTATTCTGCAGGAAGCAGAAGGAAAGGAAGCACTTAAACCTAATTTGAGAATAAGAAATAATAATGCAATGTACCTAATGCAAGTTTTCCTTTCACAAAGGTTTCTGCTCAATGACAAAACTTTGACCAATTAGCACGAGAATAATAGGAAAACTGTTTGTACATGTAAATGTAGAAAAACTTGTGAACAACTCGAAAAACGTGAGAGGGAGGTAGCCATTTTCTCCTAATTAAATATGTCCCGCAGTCATAAATCAGCTCTTCTTTTTAATAACACAAGAGCTTCTACACGTTTGCATGTTTAGCCAGACCACAATTCTCTACTAGCAGCATGGCCTGCGTCGAAAAGACTCTTTCACGGGGAGTTGAAGTCAATGGAACTGATAGATATTTAAGGTCAAGCTGTGACAAATTAAGATAGCGCATTCCATTATCGCATCATAATGTAAGTGGATCTGTGTTATTAGCATAGAATCCCATGTAGTGGTTAGGCTCATTACTTATCGATCTCGATAATTATGTTGATAGGTATTTGTTTGTCTGTCTGTTTGTTTGTCTGTTAGATGCACGCGATATCTCACGAAAGCGAGGTTGAATCTGCTCCAAATTTTGCATGTGCATTCATCATATCTTGGACCAGAATCCTATCGATTTTGGATGGATTATGTCGTATAATTAGCGATATATTGATTAATTAGTGATGTGACACACGGTGTCACCATGGAGTAAGAACGGATGAATCAAAACCGTAGTTTCTGTTTTGGGGGATCCCCTAACTTTTGATCGATAAGTCTTCGGTCTCCGACCGATATTCTCGTTTGATTCTTTATCCGATGTCGCTGATTTTTCCGAACCAGCGGAGTAATACACATCTGGAATAATTTGGACAAAAGTGATGACGTTGACGAATTGCAGTTTGCATTTTCTATGATATCATAATACCCGTTTCGATGGTCGAAACAGTGCCATTTCGACGTATCAGTGTTTCCAAACGCCCATCCCTGCATGTCTAAATTTGATTTCTACGAATTTGCAATTGAATTGAACAGACTTTTGGTTCTGTGAAATACATTATGACGTCGATTGACTTCAAAAAGATTATGAGACGAGAAAACATCAACTTTACATTTCGTGATTACTGGACATGAAGTAGACCTATGAATCGTATTCTTCACGTTGTTGTAAAAATATCGCCTTTCCTGACTTACTGAATTAATTGAAATTTTTAGTGGTTTAAGATTGTTGTTGTCGCTAAGAGGGTATTACTTTTCTTATTTACAAAACTTCAGACATCTATTCTAGACTCTTCTAAAGAGATATTTTCTCTCTACTCGTTCTCTTAATTCCTTCTCCTGATCCATTTCATTGATTCTAATTAATACACTTTTTTTGAGATTATTTATTAACATTACCAAATCAATACTAAACACAATAATGACGTCTTCAATAAACAAAATATTTGGGTGAAAAGGTGAATCCAACAAATAACTCATATATATATATAGGATATCTTCATTCGACTTTCTTGTAAAATTTTATTTGAAGATAAACATTATATTTTAACACAGTTTAAAAAATAAATAGTTGGGCCTAATATAGGCTCACAGTGATAAAATTCAGGCTTAAATCAACCTGCCTTATATAAAACATGTATAACAATAGATCGAGGTAATACTGCACTTTGTGGCGTTCTCCACACAACCGTATATAAATGAACAAATGGTCATGAATTTTTTTTTTGCAGTAACGGCCGGAAGCTTTCACTTTATTTTGTGGCATAATGTTTGTTCATTAGTGAGTTTACTATTCATTTGTAATAAGTAGATGAGGAGGTATTCTGAGGTATTCCACACTTGATGAGGTATTCTGCATGAATATACTGTTTTTGAAATATTTCATGCTTTTGTATTAGACAATTATTTCTTTGTGACTTGTCATGTCTAGAGTGGGCATTGCAACACCGGACGAATGCATGGGTGTGATTTGAGGTAATTGCTTGATAAGTGTTCCTTTAGCACTCATTTCTGTTGTGAACGAACTCCCTCGGAAGTCTTTGGCTTGGCCTTTCATTCGGTGTAAAATAAGAAATGGGAATAGACGATCTCTCCAATCAACAAAACAAAATATAACGCAAATTAAATTAAACACAATATTAAAGTTATACAATGTCATTTCCCCGACAAAGAAAAACACAGAAAATGTGGTTAAATCTGAAATAACGGCTAAAGCAGTCATCACAATTGATCTTTTCATAAGCGTTATAAGTGAGAGTGGCGGCGCTTGATTTGTGGCGGATGCTGTCACATTTTTGTGATGACGAAACATCGGGACAATGAACAAAGCAAGGACAGAAATTTGAGTTTCGATTTGTAGAAACAGAAACGCTAGAACCGGCCATCTCGGTATGCAACTGAGTCTCAGGGCATTGCTGTTTATAGCTTCAAATGCTGTAGCCACGCTGATAATCAAGCTAAATAAAACGATAAAAAGTCCCTGAAACTGACTAAAAACTTTCCACGATTTTGAAGATAGATGTCGTAAAGTTGGTTCACAAGTGAACATGGTTTGTCGTAACCATAAAATCAAATACACTGTAATAAAAGAGTATCCACCCAAAAGCAAATTAACGACGTTTGTGATAGGTGTATATGGTACAAAATATTTTGAAATCACCAAACCCATTTTTGCCATTCCAACCAACCCAGAAATTATTAAGGTGGTGTTTAAAAGATAGGGCAAACTTCTGTAATGTTGTGCATTCACTAAGCCTTTTCGTTTTGGCTTAAGTATTGATTTTGTGAAATACACAACGATTTGGCAAATAGTAATATAAACTATTATAATCGTATAGAGAACGTTAAGATAAAAGTCCCATGTTGAAATTGTACCGATGTTTTCGTTGGTAGATGTTGTTTGATTGATTGAGCAATTCACCATGTTGTCTGTCTTCTTGGTTGAACGGTTTGGTTTTCTCACGAGACGCTCAGCTTTTGTCTTCTTTATAATTTGAAAGAAGCATCCACCAAGAAGATGGTTACTATAGATTCTAGCTATAAATATTACAATATAAAAATAAATATTGAAAATACAATATGGAAACGAATCAATAGATACTTCCGTCCCTTTACACCGTTTTTGGGGAATGATCCCCAACAAAATAATTTAATATTCCCATATGAATTCCATTTCACTGGTAAAGCTGAACTAACTAACATACAACTGCATCAAGTTAAGTATGAATTGCTTGTTCACTAGTCTTGCTAACTATATCAAAGTGTGATAATCTGTGAAGTTAACAAATTTATAGTTTTCTGTAAGCTATTTTCAACCAAAACAAGAATGTATTTATATTTACGGGATGTCTTTAATGATTTGTGGTAACTAACAAACTAATCAACAAAATTTAATTTTGTCAAAAATCAAAGAAACGGCAATTTTGATTTGTGAGTTTAATTATAGAAAATACCACTCAAACCGTGACGACCAATCTACATCCTATTAATTTGGGCTTTGCTTGAAATGGTTTTCTTGCAAATCACATCCATATACTTACTACAGACCTATTTTTGTTTTAAAATGCGTCTTGATCTTAAGCGCCTGATATTGCATCAAGCTATTATATTGAAGGACTCTTTAAATCAAACAATAAAATCGCTAGATATTCAGTATTTATATCTGACGGAATTGTGCCTTCAGTGCGAAAAACGCGCTATTACTTGAACAACGACGATATTTCGACGAATGTATCCGCAATCAAGGGAACAATATATTCATTCATTGAAGACTGCTGGATTTCAAATTTTCGAAACAACGACGAAAAACGTTTTAAAACCTTGCGATGAATATTATGCTCGTTTACAAATTGAGTCGATATCAATATCATACACACTAACAAAGTAACAATGGAACGAATAATGCAGCATAAAGTTTGTATTTGGAGCTCCACGTCGGATAAAAAGAGGTTATGCTAGCGCTATTTGTGATACTGTGAATTGCGTGCCTATGGTACGCACTCGGGTTAGTTAAAACGAAAACGATACCGTGCGCACTGAATACGAAAAATAGTTAATTTTGTGTGTAAATTGGCACACCTTTGTTCAATTCCGGTATCAAACGATCCCTAGTAAATTCACCTCTGGAATTTATTCCGGATCATGTTGAAATAAAATCTAATCATCGTAGCGTTTGTTCAACCAGTTTTTATTTCTACCCAAATAAACTTTATTCCCTGGGACTTTAGTTGGAATATAAGAGGAATTTGCAATATCAGATTTATCAAGTGTAAAAACACAGGATTAAAGAAATTTCAAAACTAGGTTATAATGCAGATACATAAAGAATATAGTGAGTTTATTAATGACGAACTTGGATGGTAAACTAATTAATAAATATAGGCCAAAAACTTCAT